TCATCATGAATACCAGGAAAGCTTCATATATTCTGCTATTTTAGCCTAAATAGATTGAAGAGTGCCAGGTCTTGGTTACTAGAGAATGAGCTGACGCAATCATTGGGAATAGTACAAGTGAGCCTTTTCTGCTGCTTCTGATGCCGTCGTGCCATTGCCTTAGATGGAGCTGCTGCTTTAGAGCGAAGGGGATCAGCTTGGCGCTGTACATCCATGTTTGAGTTAACAAGTCCTCTATTCATTCTGTTAAACCCTCTGTGCCTGTGTTTATATGCACCTGCTGTATGGCTTTAGCTGCTGCCTCTCAGCAGTATGCGCTGCCATTCAACTCTTCTGTTCTCGGGCACAGAATCACTCTGAGGGGAGTTAAGTTGACAGAATCTTCCCTGAAGATCTCAAAACTGCTGTGATAGGCAAACAGCATTTAGCTCGTCAGTGTGAAATCAGAGGACTTACCTAAGGCCAAATCTGTTGCAGAATGAGGGAGTTGAACCCAAATCTTTGAACTCTGTCCTGTGCTGTAATCATTTTGAAACATCATTTAGATATTTAAAAATATTTCTTAAACTGTATTGTTCTTGTACATGAAGATTCAGTGGTCACTCTTAAAACGTTTGGTCCTGAAGGAATGGTTTCTGCATCCAAGGAGAGTGTCTCGTACGTGCTGAATAATGAAGGAGGCGGCCACGCATCCGTCATTGTGATCGGAGGAGCAGAGGAATCTCTGAATGCACACCCTGGAAGTTTAACTTTGAACATCCTCAAGAGGAAGGGCTTTATTAAAATGGCCTTGAAACATGGGTAGGTGTCCCATCTGGGCTGCTGTAGTAAGCATGCTTTGAATAAAGATTGATTCTTAAATATAGTTCATATGAGTTTATTATATATAATATAATTAGTATTTGAAAGAGTTACTTGTCTAAGAACGTGCAGATGTCTGGCATAGGAGCCAGTCTGTCCATCCAGATCCAACCTGGGAGTGTTGAAAACTCCCTTTGACTTTCATAATTTGTAAGCAGTAGGTGTTATTAGCATATCTTGGTGATTTGTTTCGCTTGTTTTTTGCACTACAAAGGAGTAAGAATTATGAAACAATATTAGTAAACCTTGGCTGTTATTGCTGAGTGGAGCAGGCATTCTGTTTTCTGTTCTGTAAATTGAAGTTATAATATTTTTTTGTCTGCTTGAAATGATAAGAAAATTCTGTATTAGAAAGCTAGGCCCTGTTTTATTAAATCACTGAAAATTGTGGTCTAGGAAGATTTGTTTTCACCTGTATTCTAAAGACTTTCTTTTGAAGGTTGTTATTTGCAAAAGTAAGTTTCTGGGAATTTTTGGTGAAAGTATCAAGAAAAACTATTATATTATATTACTATTAAACAGTCATCAGTGTATAACTAAACAGAGATGGTATTAATATCTTTTGAGTGATTTACACAGTATAAGCTATTGTGTTTGTGCTGGACTGGTCTAGATGTCTTGTATACTAGAAATATTGGAATCAATGACTTGTTCCTGCTAAATTTTTTGAACAGCTCCCAGCATTATATATTGACATGCAAAGCAATGAGAAAAAAATATTAGTCTTGAGAAGTCTGTAACAGTTTGGTTTTAAGCTGTTAACTGGAAAAAAAGGTGGTCTCTGAGAAGAAGAGCTCTCTTTTCACACAGGATGCTAAGGTCCATTTTTTCTAGAAAATATTCTGTGTCAAAATTCCAAGAGGGTTTCTTATGCATATCACTAGGAGTCTTATAAAGGACCTGTTCTTTGATAGAAGGTAACGTTTTAGTCTAATTTGTACCCAGAAACAACATTTGTGTATTTAAATTAGCACTTTAGTGCCTAAATGAGTCTTTACTCCAGTGGAATCCTAAACACCATCAGTAGCTTTTATTTTTTTTAACCATAAAGTTCAGAAGAATATTTGGGGAGACTGTTTTGTTTGTTTGTTTTTGTTGTTTTTGTTTAGGTTTTTTTTAGCATGTCCATAACTGTCAGATCACAAAGGTTGGTGTTTATCTCTCCTATAAACTGATTTGGATTGAGAAACTAGATACACCTGTGCCTCTCATGGCCTTGATTTCAAAAGCATCCCCAACACAAGAAGATCAGGACACTTACAAAACACAGGAATGGCCACTTCTTTCCTTATGAAGTCCTTTGTTTCAAATGATGTCCCCCCTCTTTAAGAGGCTTAGTTGTTTAGAGCCCTGTCTCTGCCCGAGTGACTTGGCACCTGCACCTCACACATGGTCACCTTCACCGCCAGGCTGCAAGTCATTCTGGGCCTGAGCAGTAATTGCTTCTGGTTTTAACATTTTGTTTCTAACAATCAACAAAATGGGAAACAAGCTTCCAACTCACGTGGACGTGAAAGGGCGAGGGAGGCTTGTGGGAGGTGGATGAGAAGAACCACCTGCCCCCAGTGCCTCCACGTCTTTCTGGTGCTTGGTGATCTGCAGCATCAAATAGCAAGGGAGGAAGGGGCGATGCAGAGACCTGTGTTCTCTGGCTTCTGTGCTGCCAGCACAGAGAGCTGTGGTTCCTCAGCTAGGAACTTGTCAAATGTGGTCTGAATATGTCAGCAAAAGTCCTCTGCACTTCTGGAAAAGACATTTTGATCTGAGGTAGTAGAGATACCTGATATGAAGTGAAGAAATCCTAAAGACATGAAACAAATGATGAATCAGCTAACTTATCTTTAGTTTCACAATCATAAGTTACTTATTTCTCTGTCTCAACCTCCTACATAGCATCTTGCAAAAGCCTTCACCAGATTAAAACAAATCCCACAGTCTCAGAATGCTGTTGCGCCACAAGATGTTCATGTTTGTTCTAATGTTGTAGTAAAAAGTGGAGTATTTACACAGCCACAGTATGTACCAGGCTTTCTGATACTTCCTTTACAGGTGGCTGGGTGATATATGCTCTATTTGAGAAAGAACCTTTGAGCAGACACCAGTCAGAATAGTGAGTGGGAATGACAGTCTTTGGGGGTCCCCAGGCTTGAGAAGCTGTAGAAGCAGGTTTTTTTCATACGTGTGGGTTTTCATTGTCCACAGGACTTTCCAGCCAGCTCTCTTCTCAGTGCATCCTCCTCAGGCATTCAGAGCTCTGCAGTAGTTTGTCCTGACAATATTATAGCAATGCTGCTATTTTACAGTAAGGTTTTTCTCAAAGATAGTGTGGGCTGAATGGAGCTAAGATAGAGAAGTTAAGACTTAAGTAAAGCAAATAAAACACCTCTGTATCCTTCAGAGACTGCTTAGGATTACCTACTCTTTTTTCTTTAAACTGTGTAGAATACTATTCAATGAAACTAAGCCTTAATCAAAAAGCATACTGCAGTTAAGGTGTTAAATATTGAGATGGTTTTGCTTGTTGGAGACAACTGCACTGATTCCATCAGCCTAAGTAGTTTGTCCAGAAGCTAGTCAGTGCCTTTCCTCCCAAGCTAATTCATGAACTGAATGAGAATTCATTAGGCTGTGAAGGAGTCAAAGTGAATTAGTATAATTTCTGTGGGTAGGATTTGACCTCTGGTAATAATGGATTAAGGCTAGTGTTTTTGAAGAAGTCTGGAGGAAGCAGGATTTCACTGGGAATTGGACAGCCGAGGAATTTGGCATTGCACTCGTGTCTGCAAGGATGTCTGTTTTTTGTCATGGTTTTTGCGCTGAAATCAAGTGCGTGCATTACTCCGGTCAAAAGGCACAGGAAAGCCAAGATCTGGTTTTGACGCCACCCAGCTGGGAGCATTAGAAGGTTAGCAGTGAGGCTTCTTTGCTTGCCAAAGGAGAAAATGTAGTGGAACAAGGGTGGACTTGCTGAAATAATGGTGGATAAGGTCATAATCATAATGATGATATATACAATTATTCATTTTTATGATTATGAACAGTTGTGACGGGTAGCAACCAGCTAAATACTGCGCAAAAGCTAGTTGCTAGTTATATGCCAATCATTTTTTTTTTTTTTTTTACCCCAAAAAA